CCATAAACCGAAAGGTAAAAGGTTCAATTCCTGGTCAGGTCATGTACTCAGGTTGTGGGTTTGATCCCCAGTTAGGGCATGGAACATGTATGAGAGAGCAACCAATCAATGTTTCTCACATTGATGGTTTTCTCCCCTACCCACTTTCTCTCTCAAAGGAATGAAAAAAATGTCCTCAGGTTAGGATTAAACAAATTCATACTAGAAAAATTAGGAAATAAAAGTAATCATAAATAAGTTACAAGGAACTATAATTCCACCATCAGAGATAATCTGTTAATATTTAGGTATAGATCTTCCCAGGTTTCTCTTCATGCATGTATTTTTCCTGTATTTTGGGGGTCATACCATACATACCAAACCTGCCTTTTTCTTTGTTATATTCATTCATCAAATACCTGAGTGCCTAATACAGAGGTGGGCAAAAGTAGGTTTATAGTTCATATGGAAACAGGCAATCAGGATGATTATTACAATAACTGTATTAAAAGAATGTCACAATGACACAGTGCACTCAGGTACAATCTCCTAAGAGCTCAAATTTCTGGCCTTCATTATTTACACATTCATGAGTCTATCTGCCATATTCAAGCACACTTTGGCAGAGGGTTCTCTATAGGTCTAGGCTTGCCTGCCCCTGTACATTCTACATACTGAGGAATCCAGTGGAAAACCAGAAAGGCAAGGTCCTCGATTTCATGATGCTTACCTTCAAAGGGGGTGAGCCATACCCTAAAATTAGAAAGTACCAAATATGAGCCATGCCAAAAAGGAAAATGATGTGGGCAATTTTAGATGGGGTGCTGAAGGTGGGAGTACTAAGGTGACATTTAAGTTCTTGAGACTCAAGCGCCAGTGCACAGGCTGCACAAGAGCAATCAGAGTTCTGCCATTGAGGCTGAAGTATGATCCAAGGGGAAAAAATTCGGTGATATAGAAGTTAGGAATTGAGCATGATGGGCCTTGTGGACACAAGTAAGGAATTTGGATGTAAGTCTACTTGAAGGTGTTCAGATCCGGTTTTAAACATCACTAAGGCTGCTATGTGGAGAAGAGACTGTAAGAAAGGAAGAGGTAAGGAGGAGACATCAGGAAACTATCACATGAGTCTGCAATGGAGATGAGGGAGGCATGGACCAGAAATGGAAAGAAGTGGGTATATTTAGGGTGTATAATAAGAGACAATAGGACTAGGTAACTGATTAGCAGTGCAGGGTGAGGGAAAGTAGAATCAAGGCATACACTTAGGTTTTAAGCTTGAACAACTAAGTGGATGAGAATAACAGGTTTGATAGAAAAAAATCAGGATTTCTATTTTGAGATGTCTATCAAACATCCAGGTGTAGTTATTTAGTAGGCAGTGGCATGAGTGTAGAACTCAGTGGTCAGGTAGGACTGCAGGTAAAATTTTGGAGTCACAGGTCTCATTCCAAATGGTCTCATTCCATGATGGCAAAGATTTTTTTAAAACACATTATTTTAAAACATTCAAATTGAAGTATCAGATACATACATAAAAGTCCCCTATTGTCTGGGTACATACAGCTAAATGAAGTTTTACAAACTGCAGACCCTGTTAAGAAATGGAGTGTTATCCTCACTCTAGAAGCTAACTCCTAGTCTCTATCCCCAGTCACAATACCGCACTCTCCCTCAAAAAGACAATCACTAGCCTGGCTTTTAAGATTATTTTTCAAGATCGTATTTATTTTTTAGAGAGAGGAGAAGGGAGGGAGAAAAAGAGAAACATCAATTGGTTGCCTCTCGGATGCCCCCAACCAGGGACCTGACCCACAACCCTGGCATGTGCCCTGCTGACTGGGACTGGGACCAGCAACCTCTTGGTTTGCTGTACAGTTTGATGCCCAACCCACTGAGTCACACCAGTCAGGACTTAACAGATTCATTTTTCCAAGTTTTGTCTGTTATATAATGGAATCATACAGCATTTATTATTTTACATGTGGTTTCTTTCACACAACATTATGTTAGTGATATTTATCCACATTGTTTATTCATGTCCACTGTGAATATACACATTTTATTTATACATTCTACTATCAATGGGAATATCGGTAATTTCCACTATTTGTCTATTACAATCAATGCTGTTATGAATATACAAAATCTAGTCTATGGCTTTTGATAGAAATAGAATCTTAGTCATAATATATACATTCTATTCAACAGCAATTTTCCAAAGTGATTAACCCAATAGACACGTCCAGCATACAAGTGCCAGCTGCTTCACATCCTTGGTGCACAATGATTTTGTTTTGTTCCAGTGCCTATAACAGTGCCGTACTTACTTATCTACCCAGTAGGTACAACAAGTGTGCAAACAATTCTGTTGAAAGAATGAATCTGAACACAGATGGCATTTAAAGCTGTGCACCTGAATAAGATCATCTTGAAGAAATAGAATTAGATTAGAGGGCTAATGTGTTGGGAAACACTCTGTCTGGTTTTAGGAACTGTAACTCCGCTGACAGGCAAGAGGGCCCCAAGACTGGAGCTAATCAAGGCCTTGGGAAAACAGGCCACTGAGGAGACAAAACCTGTTTCCCTGGCAGGGGCTGCGCCTCACATCACCCTGCTTGGCCCTGTGATGGTCGGTTGTTGGTGACAGGTAAGTTTTCTCATGAGGAGAAAACCTAAGGCAGACATTGGCTGGGATGGGCAGAAGACATGGACTGGGGGTACATGGAGAAAGGGCAAAAAGGCCCGCACCCCTCTGCTCAGCTTGGATATGGCTGGGGTCCTCATTCTATCTGAAAGAAGTCTCCTTGTCTCTTGGTGGCTCCCTCCTCCCACCTGGCTCAGGCTCAAAACAATACTGGAGACAGTCCTAAACTAGATCTGGTGGTTCCCAGGGAAAATAAGGCCTAAAAGTAAATTCTTTAAAGTGTGCTTTGTTTCTCCCTCAAAAGTTATGATAGCCAGCTCATGCTGGGAAGGAAATTTACATTATTCAAAGACCCTAATCCTATACCCTTTGGCACTTTCATTTTTACACTCTCATGTTTACTAGTCTCCTCTTGGGCCCAGGTGTATTGGTGTGTTCCTGCCATATGTTTTCTTCAAAACATCATCTATTCTCTGTAAACATTAACATACTGATGTAATGAGATAACCGGTGCATTCCTGTTACCTAGCCCCTGACAACCCTTTCAACAAAAGTCTTTGAACAAAGGGCCTGGGATCCTTCCCCACTAGAGGGAAGAGCCATGTCCCCTCTCCTGGCAAAAAGAGAAGTGTTTGTGATGACTCATGTTTATTCCCCCCAATCCATGGTGACAAGCCCGAGATGGGTTCTGTGGGATTCAGAGTCTGCACTCCCACCTCAGCTGGCCCTGAACAGTAACCCTCAGATCCAGGAGCGCGGCGCTCCCCAGGACTGGCTCGTCCCCAAGGCAATTGTGGGCAGGACCCCTGCCGGCAGTATCCCTGACTGCCTTGCTCGCCCGCAACACTAAAGAATAAGCCTTCAGTGACTCCTACATTTAGAGAACTGGCAGAAGAGGAGCAAGTAGAGGAGGAAGAAAATGGGAGCCCATGGGATTCTGCATATCAAGAGAAATGTGTGTTTCAAGGGGGTACAGTTAACCACTTTGAATGCTGCCAAGAGATCACAATATAAGGCAGAATAGGGAAAGAGTCCGGAGTTCTGTTTTTGGTCATTTCAAGCTTGAAGGGTTTAAGCATTGATCATTCAGATGGAGACTTTAAATGGGCAACTGGATGTGTAAGTCTGGCGTTTAGAAGCTGATATGTAAGTCTGGTATTTATGAGTGTAAATTTACTTGCGAAGGAGAGAGTGTAAACTGGAGAATAGATGGGCACCCAGCTGTGAAGCATTTCCACTGAGAAGGAATACCTGCAGACTATGTGTATGGTTAGTGTATGGTAAGGTAGGAGAGAAGCTTGGAAAATACCTTGTCACTGAGGTAATGGCAACATCAACTGTGTTAAATATTGGTGAGTTTCAACAAAATGAGAACAGAAAAATGATCACTAGATTTAACTACTAATGAATAATTACCGCAGTCAATACATATTCTTCTGCAACATCACTTTGGCTGTAAAAACACCCATTGTATGGCTGTACCAAAATCTGCTCAACCAGTCCCACTGTTGAATTCTTAGATTCTTCCCAAACCATTAGAATCATAAAGTTGCCTTGAGCATGCTCTTAAGAGTTGAAGTTACTGGCTCAAGAAAGTATTAACATTTTGCAAGCTTTTTATACAGCTACCAAACTACTCTCAAGAAAGGTTTTATTAAATTCTACCACCACCCCATGGAAATACAGTAATTGTAAAAATTAAAAAAAAAGTTTTTACCATTTCAATTGGTGGTATGTTATATTTACATTTTTATTAATGAAGTCATATGTTTGTTGATCATTAGTTACTTGTTAATAGCCTGCCTATAACTCTTATCCCCAATGAGAGTTGTTACAGGCAAACTGTATGTTAAATATCCAGAAGATTGAAATATTGGTTTAGTGAAGTGCAAAAAGCAGATAAACATAAGTATGAATCACAGCTTGTGAATACACTAGCTGTATGGCCCTGGTCAGGTAACTTCTCAAATTCCACCTTTTTGTCTGTACAACAGGGATCAGTTATATCTTGAAGTGTTCTAAACAATGAAGTGACGTACAAAATGCTGGGAATTATGACAATCATTATGCAAAAATAACCGCCATGGTTATTCGTGGTTTTATCTAAAAAACATAGGCTGTAGGGCAGCTGGTTGGTTTGAAGAAACTAAGATCCTATTTGTCATTTCCACCATCCTACTCAAATTCCTGCCCCTCCTCCTGGGTGCTGGCGTCGCCACGGCAACAAGCACGCGCTGCCCAAGGCACAGATCACTGGCGGTTGGGGACCTCGGCCACCTCACTCTCCGGTGGCCAGCGACTACGCGGCGCGTCCAACCCACCTGGTCTCAAATAAGATCTCCCTCGGGCTTAGGGCTAAGGACCGAGCGGCGGCATGGCCAAAGCGGCAGCCTCTTCGCCGCTAGAGGACTTAGACCTGAGCGGAGAGGAGGTTCAGCGGCTCACCTCCGCCTTTCAGGACCCGGAGTTCCGGCGAATGTTTTCCCAGTACGCCGACGAGCTCACGGACCCCGAGAACCGGCGGCGCTACGAAGCAGAGATCACCGCGCTGGAGCGTGAGCGCGGTGTGGAGGTGCGGTTTGTGCACCCCGAGCCTGGCCATGTGCTGCGCACTAGCCTGGACGGGGCGCGGCGCTGCTTCGTGAACGTGTGCAGCAACGCGCTGGTAGGCGCACCCACCAGCCGGCCAGGTTCCGGGAGCGCAGCGGACGGTAGCCTGTGGTCCCTGCCCTATAGCCTGGCGCCCGGCCGCGAGTACGCAGGACGCCGCGGCATCCGCTACACAGTCTACGACGTGGTCTTCCACCCAGGTGCGCTCGCGCTGGCTCGGCGCCACGAGCGCTTCCGCCAGATGCTGGACGCCACGGCCCTGGAGGCCGTTGAGAAGCAGTTCGGCGTGAAGCTGGACCACAGAAATGCCAAGATGCTGAAGATCAAGTACAAGGGGACCCCGGAGGCCGCCGTGCTGCGCACACCCCTGCCCGGGGGTGTCCCGGCCCGGCCCGAGGGGGAACTGGAGAGCCCTCTACCTGATTTTCCCTACCCTTACCGGTGCCCGGTAGCCGCTGGGAACTCTGCAGGGCCCAAGCCCCGGGCTCCCTCCCCTACAGAGGCGGTTCCGCAGCCGGCCCCCACCGAGCCTCGCTACAGTGTGGTGCAGCGCCACCACGTGGACCTCCAGGATTACCGCTGTTCCCGGGACTCGGCCCCCAGCCCGGTGCCTCAGGAGCTGGTGGTTACCATCGAGCTGCCGCTGTTGCGCTCGGCAGAGCAGGCGGCGCTGGAGGTGACGGGAAAGCTGCTGTGTCTGGACTCGAGGAAACCCGACTACCAGCTGCGGCTCTCGCTCCCGTATCCAGTGGACGACAGTCACGGGAAGGCGCTGTTCAATAAGGCCCAGCGACAACTGGTGGTCACACTACCCGTGGTGCAGTCCGCGGCGCGCCGGGAGCTGGCTGCGGCGCCGGAAGAGTCCACCGACCCGTCCGGAACTGACGGCGCTGCCTGCACTTCCGCTCTCGAGGGGCAGACGGGGCCCGCTGGGGGCCGCGCAGGGGACCAGCACGAGGATCCCAGCCGAGTTGGGGCTGCAGACGCCGGGATCACCACTCCGGACGTCGCCGAGGAGGAGCCTGTCTCCGAACTGGAGAAACGGGACTTGGGCGTGCAAACGCTGTCGACTACCAACTTTGGGGAAAAACCGCTTCCCGGAACAGGGAGCTCACCTGGAGTGGGTGGCAGAGTGCCCCCTTGTATTTTAGCCGAGGACCTAGACAGAGGGTCTTCTGCAGGAGGAAGGAGTGCGTGCGGAGATCTCAGCGTTGAGCCCCGCGTGGCCCGGGAAGACACGGGCAGGGAGCCTTCTGATCCAGCCATGAGTGGTCCCGGGACAGACAGCGGGGGACCTCTGTGTCCTCCTTTGCAGTGTAATCAGGATGAAGAGTCTCTGACTGTGCTAATTCAAGTGCCTCGGATCCAGCCGCAAAGTCTTCAAGGGGATGTGAGCCCCCCTCGGTACAAATTGTGCTTCTTCACCCAAGATTTAGTTTATTATTCCTTCGTTTTGCAGTTTGCTCCAGAAAATAAATTGAGTATCAAAGAACCAGTGGTTAGCATTTCTTCAAACAATGCAGTGATAGAACTGGCCAAATCTGCAGGGTGCTATGGATATTGGAGACAGTGGTATTATGGTTTAAACCACGATTCTTTGGAGGTAACAATTCTTTCTAGAGTCTTAAGATTTGAAATATTCCATCCTACTTTTTAAACTTCACCCACTTAGCTTATTCTAAACAAAGTATTTTCCATTGGAACTTCTCTTGAAATTACCTGAAATTGATACACGTGATGAGAGATGTAAGTGCTCATTAAACGCGTATTGAAAAAATAAAAAAAAAAACCCAAACCAAAAATACCGAAAAAACAAAAAACACCACACATCCTCTCTGATGGATGGGTTCCACATCTTCAAAATTGTCCTTAATGCATTTGCTTTCCTGCAGTCCATTAACTGAGGAGGACACGAATAGATTCCCAGGATTCATAAACCTCTAAAATTGCATGCAAGAAGTTGAGGGTACTTTCTTCCGGGGAGAGGGCTATAACTTGGGTCATATTCTCAAAGAGGTCGATGACCCAAATAGGCTTGAGAGGCACTCTGTTAGGGCCACATTTTAAGTCGCTAAGTAACATTGTCCGACTATAGAAAGTAATCAATTTATTTTCCGGCGAGCAAAAGTGACTTAGCCACGTTGCTTCTGTAAGAAAAGGAACTCAGAACCAGGTGACAATCTAAATAAATTCCTCGTCCTTTCGACCATATAGTGCTGCGTCAGTTTAGTCGCCCATCGTGGTGGGGTTGTCCTCGGGTAGGCGTTTTGCTGCATTGAAATTACATCTTTTTGCGTCTGTTTTAATCATCTTTACATCCCTGGCACAATGGCTGGCATTTTACAAAGGGTAATGTAAATGTGTTTTAAACTGAACGGCACCATCAGCTGCACTTCTGGGCATATACTCTAGAACTGGGCTGAGCATTACCTAGTTTATTTAGGTTATAATTTTGATAATTCAGTATGTCCTGTTGTAGTTGCTAATTACTTTTTGGGTTTTTTGAGTTTCAGCTTCAACTCCAGTACGATGGGCAAATACTGGGAAAAAACCTTGAAGTTTTAAAGAACTATTGTAAACTCACAAATGAACAATTACTTAGTGGCTTTGATTGAGGTTTGCATTGGTGTTACATGTAAATTTTTAAAACTGAGTTTAATTCCCGGAAACAATACAAATTGCAGATTATATATTAAAAATTAAGTTTTGGCCTTATGCTTTACCTGCCAGAAGTTTTCACTTCTTCCCCATTGTTTTTCTAGAAATTTGTTAATAAGTGACACTTATTTTATGAGGGGTATCTTCTGTGAAAAGTGGTTACTTTGGAAGATTGCAAAAGTGGTGAGATAAGTATTCAGGGCTAGGTAAAATACATGGTGATAATAGGAAATTGACTCTCTGTTTATGTCATTAGCAGAGGGAAATTTAGGAAAAGGCAACCACTTTCCTGTAATTGTCTTAATAAATGTGAAAGTAGCCCTGGCTGATTGTGGCTCAGTGGATTCAGTGCCGGCCTGCAAACCAAAGGGTCGCTGTTTTGATCCCCAGTGCAGGGCACAAGAGGTTTTGGCCCAGGTGCGAGGGACGGGGCGGGCGGGGGGGGGGGGGGGGCGGGACGGGACGGGACGTGGGGGGCGCTTGAGATGCAGCCACACATTGATCTTTCTCTCTGTTTCTCCCTCCCTTCTCTCTAAAGATAAATAAAATCTTTTTTTTTTAAGTGAAAGTAACTCACAATGTGGAAAGAAAGCTTTGTGGACAAGCAGTGGGAAAAATACTAAATACACTTTAATTTTCTAGTGGGCTACTTTATTTTAGCATTATATATTAAAAATTAAGTTTTTGGCCTTAGGCTTTAACCTGCCAGAAGTTTTCACTTCTTCCCCATTGTTTTTCTAGAAATTTGTTAGACATTATTTTAGCAAAGAAACCAGACAAAAATGGGATTATGGCAACTGAGTTTTTTATCTTTGAAACCTGAAATAGGTTTAATACTTTTTCATTAATCATCACATTTGCTAAGACTGATGAATCATAATGTTGTTTTTTTTTCCTTTACATTTCACTGTCTCTGGACCAGGCTCTAAGTATTAAATTTTTAAAAAAATCACAAAAGAGTAGTGGTAGATAGATAATATATCATGATTAGATTATTATATGCATTATATGAAAATAATTATAATGTGAGGAGACTGATTTGTGGCCATCAAGTTCAGAATTGTTACTTTACATGTAAGTGCAAAATATATTTATATAAGCCTTAAATAGTCACTGGGAATTTTCCTAATGCTTCACAACCACCGAATAGAGTATCTTTTTTTTTTAAATCCTCACCTAAGGATATTTTTATAATTTTAGAGAGAGGAAGGGGGAGAGAGAGAGAAATGTGGATTGATTGCCTCTCCTATATTCCCTGAGTGTGGTTTGACCTGCAACCTTTTGATGTATGGGAGGATGCTCCAACCAACTGATCCAGGGCAATACAGTATCTTTTATAGTAAAATCAGTCATTACAATGTGAAGACAATTTTATGGAAATTGTTTGTATTTTAATCATAACCATTTCCATTATAAATATATATTACTTTTCCTTAGGTTAACTAAAAATAAACTATTTGGTGTATTTTCTTATACAATTAATATGAAAGTCTTTTCCAGAGACAGGAAACTTAGAAATTCTTTTGACGGTTGTGTTTTTGTAATACAGTGTTATTCTGGATCTTCAAATAATAGCAAGGCAAATTACTCCAAAAGTAAAATTTTTCTGTTCCCCAGGTTCAACCCGTTTAGTAGGTGTTCCCAAGTTCAAACACTTTTAATAGAAGAAAACTTGAAACTTGTCTTTTTTTAATTTCCTTCCCATATTTGGACTAAATAATGAATTTTTTATTTGTAATTATAAAATTTATACAAAAGTACAGAGAAAAATACTATTATTTTGGGCAACAATGAGCTGATTTTATGAATATGGTTATTCCTTCAGTGCCCTAACTGTATACCTATATTCACTTGATGTGAATATGAACAAATTGCTTTGTGTTTGGGGTTTTTGTGAATGTGATTTTTGCATTTCTTAGTGGTTTGGAAATCTGTCTCATTCTTATAAATGGCTGTATGCTGGTGTCACACTGGATTGTCTCATTTCTTAAAAATGAAATAAACTTCTTTTAAATAAAAATATTACACTTGGCTCTTACCTAAGAACCAAGAGAAAATTTTAATAGATCCTGTCTTGTATATTTCTTAGCTGACTGATTAGGAAGTGTTCTAAAATTGAATTACATTTTATAGCTTGGACTGCATATATAGCTCTAGAGGTGATGTTATTCTTATAAAATACTAAGAGAAAAAAATGAAAAGAAAATATCATTTGTAAGTAAGATTATCTAGGAGAGAAAACATACCTCAGATTTAACAGAGACCTAGCAAAGGAACTAAACTTTTTCTTTTAGGGTCTTTCCCTATATGTGTATGTACTCTTACTATTCTTAATGCTATGTACAAGACTGTTTTCTTTTGCCAAGATATCATAGGAATAACATGAAACATTTTAAAAGTGTAATCCCGAACTGTGGGAGAATTTTTATGAGTTGTTTTTTCATAAAACTGTGAAGTATGACCAATAAAGCAGAATATATTTTTTCTTTTTATTTTAGGAAAGGTTATTTGTAAATGAAGAAAATGTTAATGAATTCCTTGAAGACGTCCTGACCTCTCAGTTCCAACAGACAATGCCCCTAACCCCACCTTCAATTGAAGTCCTTCAGGTTACTGATAGCAAGATTCAAATTCAGGCAAAGGTAAGGATTTCAGTGGGCTTTGTATAATAGTGATTGAAGACAAGGTTAAAGCCTAATGAATAACGTAATTCTTGGTCATAACTTTAAGCTAAATGTATGTAATGGCCGGGAAGAGGAATAAAGACTTTTTTTGGTACCCATTTTAATATGTGCTAAATACTCTGCAATTCATTTTCATATATATATATATATCTATGTATATAGATATATATATCTATATCTATATATGTATACTTTTAACCCCAAAATAACTGTTGAATGAGGAATAGCGAAAAACTGACATTTGGGAAGTCAGTCCAGGGACAAAAGTCTTTTTAATTCTCAGACCATGTTATATAGTTTGTTCATTCTTTCTAGTTGAATCTTAAGTTTGGTTATTTTTATAGACTTCATTATTGGATGCAGAAATATTTTAACTAGTACAAATGGCATGTATGAACTGGGGAGAGAGTGGCTCTGAAGAATCACAGAGATTTAAGAAAATGCAAGAAATTCAAGAATGCCCTTATAAGAATAACTGCTAAGCCCTGGTGGGGTAGTTCACTTGGTTACAGCATATCGGGATTCACCAAAGTTGTGGGTTCAATCCCATTAGGGGACATACAAGAATCAACCAATGATTGATAAATAAATGGAACAACAAATCGATGTTTCTCTCACTCTCTTGCCTTTCCTCTCTTAAATACTGCTAAGGGTTTGTAGGCCAGGACTCTTATCCTGAGGTAGATAAGTAATTGAAAGAATTTAATCAGAGAATTAATGCCAGGTTTGCATTGTTGCATTTATTCATGGCAGCATTTGGAGGATGACTTTGAGGAGGAAGTCCACCTGCAGGTCTACAAGGGTTGGTTATTCCCTCACAACTTAAAAAATTTTTTTCCAGATGACACTACAATTTAATTTTCTATTTGTTTCAAAGGATTATTAATTTGCTGTTTCTCTTGACATAGTTGCGAGAATGTAATAACTCTGAGCAGCTTCAGGAAAAGGAAGAAAGAGGCAATGAAGGAAGTCATCTCACTGAAAAAGAAAATACAGAACATCCTACCACCTCAACAACTAATTCTGATTCATCTATAGCAGTCAAAGTACTAGAAATAGACAGTTGTGGTTCCGTTGAATACTGGCAACAAGAGTCTCTTGATGTTTCCCAAATGCTACTTGGAAAGTGTCAGCAACCTGAGTCAAAAATGGAACCTGAATTTATAAAAGAAAAAAGTGCTGTTTACTCCAATGAAGAGAAAGATAATTTAAAAGAACCAGTAATGACTGAACATAAAGAATTAACAGTTCACAATATACCTGGCTTTGACAACATAAAAGAAACCAATATGCAGGATGGTAGTGTGCAGATTATTACAGATCATGTGACTCATTGTGCATTCAGTTTTCAGAATTCTTTGCTATACGACTTGGACTAATTCTATATAATTTTAGAATTTAAAAGTTTAAGAATAAAAAAATTTTGGACTTAGTATAAATTCTGTTTCTGTTGACTACTGTCTTAAAACCAAAGATATTCAAGAAAGTATATTTTGGGTTTAAAATACATTCTCTGTTCACTTTTAAAACTGAAGATTTTCAAGAAATTAAAATTTGCAATTTTGATTCTAATGGGAAAATTGGAAATTTTTTTTTTGCACATATAATTTATATACAATTTCCTTAAGTTTTGTGGTTCCTCTGATAGATGTTATGTTTTTTCTAACAAGAGTTAAACATTTTAATACAGCCTGTATAAACTTACTTCTGTGTTGTTCTTGGCTTCTTTTGTTTACCATTACTTTAATAAAGTTTCAAAATATTCAGTTAAGTTGTGTCTGTCACAAAGAGTAATTCTTAAGAATGTAACTAGAAATGTAAGTGTGGTGGGGGCAGAATTTCAAAAGTAAGTTTAGAAATTTCACTAAATAGGAAGTATTTATGCTTGAAATATTCTTATAAATGAAAGAACTTCTCTACCCAAATAGTAATAATTCAAACAATTATACCAAAACACTGAATGAAATTTAGTATTTTTGCTTCCACAGTTTACTTTTCTCATGTCACAGAACCCCTGCCCCTAAATATATATACACACACATGCACACACACACACAATACTGATTATTTAGCAATGACTTTGAAAATTTAGTATTTTTAGAGTTTATTTCTTAAAGATTTTATTTATTTTTAGAGGTAGGGAAAAGGGAGGAAGGGAGAGAAACATCAATGTACGGTTGTCTCTTGCACGCCCCCTATTGGAGACCTGGCCTGCAACCCAGGCATGTGCCCCTACTGGGAATGGAATCAGTGACCCTTTGGTTCATAGGCCTGTACTCAATCCACTGAGCCACACCAGCCAGGCAGGGCTAAAGAGATTTTTTAGAAGTTATTGCTACATACTAAAACATCTCTTGGTTTTACAGAATACATTTCTGGATTTTAGAACAGGAAAACTAAAAAACCTGGAGATTTGCTTCCACAGGGAACTTATATTATTACATGAAGACAACAAAGGGTTTTCTAACCAATTTCCTTTATGATACCCAAAAGAAGGCAGCAGTAGATAATATATCTGTGGCTGTTATTTTGTGGAATAGTACTTTTATTTGAGGCCAAAAAAAATCCTACTAGATTTTTTTCCTTACAAATTTTTAAGACAGCATAAAATAAAACGTAGAAAGAAAAGTATCTGTTGACCTAATCTCTGACCCCAGAGAACATGAGCTGATGTATTTGTTCCAAAAAGAGCTACCAATTCAAACATCTGGACTTACCTTGGTCCTGGAAATTACTTAATACCTTTAATCCCATGAACTGGGGAGGTCATATCAGAGCACCAAAAGCTGGTACAAAGCCTGGCAACTCATCCTGATTTACATTTAAAATCCTGATAAAATCTGGAACTAGACTGGGTTGAGGGCAGTATAAATGTAGCCAGCTCATAAAACAAGAGAACCATTTCCCCCACCTTAGGTGACCAAACGCATTTTTCAACCATAAAATGCTTAATTTGCTGCAATAATTTTGAAACACTACTTAATGCACAATTTTCTTAGATTGAAATGACTAATTGTAGTATCTACACAAAAATTGGAGTTAATTTTTGGTTAGATGGAATTGTACACTGTTTAAGGGAAACAATGTTAAATGTGGAATACATTTTAAGCCCATTTCCTGTTATTTACTGTGTCCTTTTAAAAAGTATTTTGGTTAAAATAAAGCTGGTACTAGAACATGTTTCACTTCAGCATGTCTGAACTTTGTATTATTTCTGGCTGTATTTCCCTTACACAGCAGCTTTTTATTGTTCATTATCTATGCATGGCTAATTTGAAAGCCAGTTTCTTTCAATGGAAATGCCTTGTCAAGAGCTGGGTTTTCTCTAATTCAAACTCAGTTATGTAACGTACAAATAGTAAATATGAACATGTAATGCTAACTTTAAAACTTTTAGAATGCCTATTCTGAATTTTGGTGTAAAGAATACGTAAAATTTATTCTGCAAAACGATTAGGAACCTCTTTATGCAAAAATGATTATTTTATTTTGGCAGCACTAAAATAAGAAAAAAGAAACAAAACCATTTTATTTCTACACTGAGGTGAAAAGTGTTAAAATTTTCTTACCAAATACATTCCAAAAGAAAGTGTTCTATGAAGGTTCCAAAGCACAGGCAAATCTTAACACAATAATACAGGAATCTGCAATACTTAAACTGATTCTGTTTTGACAGGGTGTTTAACAAACATAACTTCTGAATGATAAAATCAGTGAAGCAATCCTTTCCTAGTAACTGTGCGGAGAGTGAAACTGGGCCTGTTCCATTAATACTTAACAATTTTGTTGTAATACTTTTTACTGCTATGACAATTTTAAATAACTTCGAAAATGGAAACGTATACAAAGTTCCAGGTAAAAAGATTAATAGATGCAATTTAAATAAAATTTCTCTTCTCTCACAGTAATGATTACCTTTACCAGATACAGAGCTTTAAAACCCAACTCCCAAAATGAAAACTTGTGTTTTAAATCTTAATCAGACATAAAGGAAAATGATTACTATAATTGGACACCTTTTACAAGAATTTTTTGTATTAAAGCAGAAACCAATCCCTAAACTCTTTTATTCAACTGTCTGTCCTGTTGAGACAAATATCAAAAATAGAAGACTGTCATTTTTGCTTTTGTAATTGTGATTTTTTTCCTCACTGCAGTCTTCTATAACTTTTACAGAGTTCATGGTCTCTAATATCTCCCCACCCTCCATTTTTCCTAGGTGGGGAAATGGCTGCCACGAACTTCTCACTGATACTTAGAGTTTCTGGAAACAGGTACTGTTTGTTACTATTTAAGAGTGACTCAATTTGGGCACTCTGGGTTGATGGTCTACAGGTTTTCTTGTGGTGCATACCACAGTCTCCAGCATGAAAAATCCTAGGTACCTGAGGAACCAGCACTTTCCAGAATTTTGGAAGACAAGATACAGTCAAATATTGAAGAGTCCAGTCCCAGTTATAATCATCGTAAGTACAGAAAGTGTCTGTGCAGTCGATCAGATTCTGATATGCATCCCGGGTCAAGGCTAGACCCATATTGTGCTCTGTGGATTTCCAAGTTTTCACGTCTACCTTATCAGCAATGCCAGAGAAACTTCGACTGGCAGTATAGGTTCCCAAGGAAAGAACATCACACTCAGGACACTCTTGTTGCTTTAATTTCCACATCTTTTTGAAGACATGGTAAAAGTCTGGGGCTAAGTAGTGATCCTCCTCTAGGAAAAGTATGAGGCCAGCATAGTCTCGAAGAACTTTGACCCTTTCCCATACAAAATGCAGCTTCCACCACCAATGGTGTTTGGTTTGAGAGAACTTGGCCTCTCTGTAATGGCCAAAGGAGTCAGGATACTCAGCATTAATGCATCCCATCTTCAAAGCTGCATTCTTCTCCAGATCTCTTGGGCAATCTCTAGGATCACTGCCCGGAAACTCGTTGGGGTACAACTGAATGCTGAAAGGAAAGAACACCTGCAGAACCGGACAGAAATCCACCCCAGCAATCAGCTGATTGATCTCAGTAGACCAGAAGTCATGGCTAAAGATGACGAGGACATTGTCAATACCCTGGGCCTTTCGAAGTGAGTCCAGCAGCAGTTTGAGGTAATCGGGCCGGTTATGTACCTGGACCACAAGCACCAGCTCTCGGGGGGCCCAGGAGCCTGCCTTGTCTACATTCCTCAGCGTCTGGTCAAAGTTCAGCTGGTACACCAGGGACCGGTACCGCAGCGTCAAGTTGTCCGCCTCGGGCTGCGGGGCCCCCGCGACCAGCGGGGCTGCCGACTCGTTGGAGACCCGACGGATGCCCATGGACACGGGGGGATGGTCCCCGCCCCGGCCACCGGCGGCACGCGCGGGCTCCGCGTCCAGCAGCGGCGGGGCGAGGGCCTCGTTCTTCCTTTGTCGCCCATTGCTGCTCCAGAGAACGAAGCCGCAGGCGGCCACCACGAGCGCCAGGATCAGCACCTTCCGCTTGTAGATACGGAACCTCATGGTCTCCAGGGCCGGGAGCGCGGGCAGGAGGGCGCGGAAAGGAGCTAGCAGCTTCTGCGCGGAAGGGGCGGGTGGGAGGAGGTCGTCGCCTTGGCCTGTAGCAGTCGGAACTGGCCCCCGCAGCTGCCCTCGCTAACTCATCCTGCGCCCCAGAAGTCCTGAGGCCCGAAGGCTCTCAGCTTCACCGTGCTACCCGGGCTCCACACATCTTCGCCCGGCAGCTGCAGCTCGGGCAGCGGCAGCGCCGCCGCTAGGAGCTGGGGCTCAGAGTCGCCTCGGTCCTCTCCATTTAGCACGAGTCTCGGAAGAAGCTCTGCCACGGCCCCACCGTACCCAGCTTCGTTACCTGCGCCTCCAGTGGCCCTGCGTCCTCTGCGTTCTCATCCTTACGCGGGCCCCAGGCAGGCAATTCCAAGCGACGCAGTCTCGCCCCACTCTGGCAGCGACCACTCTGACAACCCGCAACTGGCCCTTCGAGCTACGCTGGCCTTTGGGCCCACACCCCTCCGCCCCGCCCCTTGGGCCGTTGGTTGGCGCTTCCAAGACACGCGCAGAGGCGCTCCATCGCCGCCGCCCGCTGCCTATTGGTCCGTGGCACTGTCACTCAAGGCTTGGTTCCTACTTCCGCTCCTTTCCTCCTTTTCCTGTTAGGCACAAGCGGAGCGAGGTTAAGAGTGTGGACGCTGAGCTTCTCGGTAAGGTAACGTTGGGACTGTAGGACTCCCCACGAGAGCCTCCAGTGCTCAGAATCCGGGGATGGACTAGGCTCTGGTAGGGAAGGGAGGACGAGGCCCGCTGCTTTGTCTGGGTAGAGTTCAAGAACGGGCTTCTGTCTCAGGCAAGGGACTCACGCATGGCGCTGCTAGGCCGGGAGACACTTAAGGACACGTCAGCCTTCAGCGTGGCTGAGAGATGATTGTGCACGGTGCTATAGAGGGGAAAAGTGAAACCAGACTCCTGCGTTTCTCGCTGAAGGAGCGGGGGCGGACCGTAGCGGTAGCTATTCCATCGTGTACGGAACAGGGGATGCCCAGGGTCTAGAACATCGAGGAAGTGGGTGCGGGGAGGAGTCGAAAAGAAACTCGAGCCTTGGCTTTCTCTACGAAAGAAAATTAAACATCACTACGCTTTTCTTCTGAGCCACCGTAAATTAAGCCCCCACTTTGAACAAGGAACTCTGTGCTGCTCTTGCTGTTTTTCGTCTTATGCTAGAAGTGCTCCAATGATTTAAGCATTTCAAAAAGGTGTGCACATGAATGTGAGCGTTTACTCATGGAAAATGAGTCGTTGGTGGATCTATACATTATTGATTAATGTTATTTTCCTATAAGTACTTATAAAGTACTAATACTTGTCATGGTGTTTAACTGTAGTTTAAATCTTACCACAATTTTCATTGTGTAGACAGCTTTACTGCAAAGATGGTCAATGTGCCTAAAACCCGAAGGACGTTCTGTAAGAAGTGTGGAAAGCATCAGCCTCACAAAGTGACCCAGTATAAGAAGGGCAAGGATTCCCTGTACGCCCAGGGGAAACGGCGCTATGATCGGAAGCAGAGTGGCTACGGTGGGCAGACGAAGCCGATTTTCCGAAAGAAGGCTAAAACGACAAAGAAGATTGTGCTGAGGCTTGAATGTGTTGAGCCTAACTGCAGATCCAAGAGGATGCTGGCCATTAAGAGATGCAAGCATTTTGAACTGGGAGGAGATAAGAAGAGAAAGGGCCAAGTGATCCAGTTCTAAGTTTTGGGATTCTTTTATTTTTGAAAGGAAAATGTTGAAGTAGTAGAAAAATTACCTGTATGAAAATAAATGCAGTGATATTCTTACTCACATCTTTTGTGTTTATTTGAAAAGTAGAACTACATGCTTAATGTGGTTCTAAATTAAGGAAATAACAGTAAATTATTTGTAAATGAATCTCATTAAACTTAGTTCCACAAGAATTAGAATTTTGTTTTTATATATGAATTTTCGGTCAGCTATGGTATTTACAGGGGGATGGCTTGTAGATGAGTAAGACAGGAAAAGGGCTAGAGTGTAGGAGTAACAGATGGTTAGCACTTATTCCCAGCATTGACTATTATATCTGCATTTTTGAAAAAATTATTTTTAGAGAGGAAGGGAGGAAGAGGGAAACATCAGTGTGTGGTTGCCTCTTGTGGGCCCCCTCCTGGGGACCTGGCCCTAAACCCAGGCATATGCCCTGACCTGGAATTGAACTTACGACCCTTTGTTTCGCAGTCCAGCACTCAATCCACTGAGCCACACCAGCCAGGGCTATATCTGCATCTTTTAATAAAAAATTGCTTTACAAGAACATAAAAATCAGGTATGTACAAATTTTAAATATGCCATAAAACATCACTTTAAAGAACCATGTTTTAATGTGGTTTTATATTTACAGGCAATCCCTCACCAATTTATGAGTTTAGAAAATCCTAAGATACTTAATTACAAAATTCTTGGTTTTAGAGACCAAAGTGAAATTTACTCCAGAAGGTGGTATGAAGCCTGGACCTAAAACCTGTGATCTGGGTTCATGGTACCTCTCACAGGGTGACTTGAGACAATTGAGTAAAATCTATATAAAAACATCTGGAACAAAGTAGGTAACAGATAAATCTCAGCTCTTTAAGTCATGTTTGCATTATATATAATTGTTTTAAGATAAAAAACTAGAAATAATACAGGGAGTTTGCAGGAAGAATTTAATCACTAGCAATATAAATATAAGGTTGTCCAAAGAATTATTCTTCTGGACCAATGCCTTGTCTCTCAAAGAATCAACTTGGAAAAGAAACTGTTTTGGAACTCATACATAAAGTTTTAATAAAAATTTAAAACAGTATCTGCTTAAGAATACTTTTATTTTCAGAAAAGAAAAAAATGCCCCAAACAAAAACTTCAGGAAGATAATGGAGGTCACTTAAGTCATAATAAACAGTCCTGTATATGAGGGAGACCCCCTAAAAAAAATGGAAATGGAATTGATTTATAAAAAATTGTGTATTCTTACATGTTTAAACTTCAGTCACCTTCAAAGTATTCTCCATTTGATGCAATTCACCTATCGAGACTTTTTTCCACTGCTCAAAAATCTTTGAACTTGATTTTGATGCATTTTAGTGCTGCTCCTGTTTTTTACCTCTTCCACATAGGCAGAATGTTTCCCTTTGAGGACTTTTTCCACCCAGGGAAACAGAAAAATTGGAGTGAATAGGGAAGGTGGGGTTGGGGATCATGTTTTTGATCAAAAACTGCTGAATACTCAGTTTGGTGTGGGCAGGGGCGCCCCTAAATTCATGCATCATGAAATGGGCAAACACATTGAAAGAATCTTCCAAAAAAAATTTACTGAAGTCTAGGCACAGCCTTTCACAATAATACCAGTTGGTACACTGATAAAGATGAGTTCCTAGAATACCCACCTAGCAGGTGAAGCCTGTATTACAAGCGGCCTGCTCTCCGGAAGATAATTCTGGTTTTATTAGGGGTTCCTCATAGACTACACCTCTAGCTCCAAGCCCAAAGCAGCAATAATACGCAAATACTGGAGGGGGTTTTCTCCAGTAACTTACTCTTCACCCTCCTTCCTCCTGAGAAGCCAGTTACCAGTCTATTACAATGATCTAAGAAAGAGGCTGATTTGAAGGGCAGTAGGAATGAACAGAAGGGGACAGTCCTACTAATTCCATTTTTACATGACGGTTTTAAGATTACTTTCTATTTACTCTGCTTTAGTTCAAGTTCTCATCCTTAGCTGGTGTACTGCCACCACTTTTTAAATTAAAAGACTTAATAAACAGAAAAAGAACCCTCAAATAATACAGAATATCAGTAAAACGTAAAAACTTTCTGCTCTCACCCAACTAAAACCTTATTCAACTGCCCCCCCCCCAAAAAAAACCTTAGAAATACAAGAAATGTTATGTGATTAACATAAACTTAAAAAGCCAAAAAGTCTTTCCTAAAACAACTACTTTATGCTTGGTGAAATGTAAAATTCCATTTGTAGAATAATACACCTAAAAAATACAAAAGGTGGTATGCTTAAAAACTTACATGCAATTTGATACCAGAAAGTTTTCACTATACTTTAGACCATATTAATTCTCCAAGGAATATGTTCTGCATACGTAAACTCAATTTCTTTACTTGAAATGAAAAAAAAAAGTTGGTAGGAAAATTCTATTACCAAAGTGATTGTGATTACTATCTGCTTAACATTAAAAGATAACCCCACAACCCATTCTGGAAACACTAAACTAAAGTCAACACAAAATGCAATAATCTGATAAAAGTTCACCCCAAAACAAAATTAGGTTTTAATGAAGTTAAGATTTTAGTTACATTACTGAAAATGTTAAGAGTAACATACATTCTTCCCCTCAAGCGTGTATACAAAAAGCTTCCCTTTCTCCAACTTTGTGAAACCATAAATGAATCCCAAACTGATCTGTAAGTAACAGAAGTTCTTTTTGTGATATCATCTATTACTTGAACATATCACAGGAATTTACATAACAGGCTAGAGAACAGAAGTAAGAGATCACAGGTGCTTCAGTGCCACCCATATTATCTACTAAGACCACAGTGTGAGCAACAGAGTGTAGATTCATGGTTGTGATTCCCTGAATAAAGCAGCTTAGGCAAAATCTTCCACAAACACAGGTTTTTGCAGTATCCAAATCTTGGCAAAGATGGAAAGGAATGATATGAGAGCCATATGGAATCCTATTGGAAAAAAATGTTTAAAATGTATTAGGATATGAATTATTTAGCACTGAATTATAACCATGAAAAAAATTATTAAATGACTCAGTATATTGTTTTATCTTACAGACTGGGTAATGGGGAAAATATTCCAAAAAACATAATATTCCAAACTATGATTTACTGGAAACTGAAGAGGATCTATACCACTCCATAAAGTATCTTTTAGCAGTGCCACTTAATAATATAACCCATTGAATAGAATAAGTCATCTGTCCTTTATATAATTATACTGTATGACCAATGTAACAAGGTAAATTAAACCTACAGCTCTGTCATACATTCTCATGATGGTAATGGGAGAATTAAGGAGTTCTACCTGTGAAGAAATATTTAAATAAACCCATATACTCTCCTGAGTATCAATTATTCAAAATGGAATTTTAAACTGTGTAAAACAAATTTAAAACACATTCAGGGTATTAGTTTTACTTTACTCACTAAGCAAGTAAAGGCTGCCCTCACCTTGCTTATATCATTCACCCTCCTACTTGAGTGGTGTCCAATGCAATTAAAACCAAATCGAAGTGCTTGTCCTCATCATATACACAGAACCAAGAGACAGTCTCTTGATATTGCCTGCCCACTGCCCAGCTCCTTCCCCCTAAACCCAACCATGTTCCAGGCACTTAAGTCTCCCATACATAGCTATTTCTATAATCCCTAGCCCAGGCTGGCATATTAGCAGGTATTTAGATCTTTTTCAACAAGTAAATCAAACCAACTTACAGTTTAAAACCCTTTTAGAAAAGTCTGAAAAGATACACATCAAATAAAAAATAGTGGTTTACTTTATGTAAGGGATTTGGAATTGACCTTGTTTGCAATTTTTGATTTTTTCACGTTTTAATTCATTGCTTGTGTAACAATTTTTTGAAAAAACTTTGCCAGGAAGTGTCTACCACATATTTACATTAATCTCTTCCAGGCATTGCTTGTAGTCTAAGGAAACAACTAACAGTTAAAAACTGTGATATAATTTACATCGCCACTTATTTTTCTTAAGACCATAATTTTATAACTAGTAGTTATAACAATTTACCAACAGATAGATAATTGGTATTATTCTCATGGTTTTGGGTTTATAATTCTTTTTAAAAGAGGGCTGAAAACATGCAAAAATTATACTTCAGTAAAGGTTAGTGAAACACGCAAAATTATATTTTAGTAAAAATATTGAGACCAAGTTTAAAAAACAATATAAATACTACAATGCTCTATCATTCAGCACTAACAAATTATTTTTCTGCCCTATTACATCATATTTTGTTTAATTATATTTTGTTTATGCTAGTACAGTTGTTCCAATTTTTCTCCTTCCCCTCAGCCCCAAACTCCCACAGACAATCCCCACACCTGCATATATGTTCTTTGGCTACTCTATTCCCTGTTATGTACTTTGCATCCCTGTGACTATTCCATAACTACCAATTTTTACTTCTTAATCCCGTCACCTTTTTTGTTCATCCCCCCTACCCCCATCCCATCTGATGACCATCAAAATATTCTCTGTATCTATGATTCTGTTCTGCTTGTTCATTTATTTTGTTTAGATTCAATTATTGATATATATTTATTGCCATTTTATTGTTCATATTTTTTATCTTTTTAAAGAAGGCCTTTTAACATTTCATATAATACTGGTATGGTGATGATTAACCCTTTGACCAGAAGTCTACATCATATTTTGATCATTTATTTTTTTCCTTTTAGCTCTGCACTTTTCCATGGTGGATGTCAGTTTGTATTTTTTTAAATCATCCATCCAACTGGTTATAGTCTTTAAAAAGAAAGGAAGTCATTTGTAATATTTCTAACTTGGACATAATTTTTTAAAAATATTTTATTTATTTATTTTTAGAGCGAGGGAAAGGGAGAGAGAAAAAGAGGGAGAGGAACATCGATGTGTGAGAGAAACATTGGTTTCCTCTTGCACACCCCCAAGTGGGGACCTGCTCTGCAACCCAGGCATGTGCCCTGACTGGGAATAGAACTGGCAAACTTTTGGTTCACAGGCTGGCACTCAGTCCACTGAGCCACAGCAGTCAAGGCTTGGACATAATTTTCAAACTTGAATATCTCAGAGAAAGCCTAGAAAGAGCTCAGGAGCAACTCTTTACCGAAAGATACCTTTTAGAGTTCCCTCAAATCAGTGGTCTTAACCCTGAATCACTAGTATCACCTCTGGAAATTAAAAAACATGTAACATACAATAAGGGCCCATCTCTGGCCACTGTGACCTAGCTGGTCTGAGTTAGAATCTAAGCATCTATATTTCTTATTTATATTATTTAAAAGTTCCTCCGCAGCTAATGATAACACTGATTTTTAATTGCCGAGAAGCAAATTACATGTATTATAATAAATATGTGAGACCTATCATGAGCCAGGCACTGCCCAAAGGACTTACATGGATTGTCATTTAGTTGGTAATTTTTAATTCCTAATTAAGAGTCAATGCCTTAAATCAATGGTTCTCAAAGTGTGGTCACTGACCAGCAGTATCAGCATCTCCTTCGAACTAGTTACAGATGCAATTTCTTCAGCCCCACTCCAAATTTAGTGAGTAAGAATCTAGCAATCTGCTTTAATAACCACTTATTTCAATAAGTATGATTCTGATGGACTCTCAAATTTTAAGAATCATTGTCTTAAGAATAGTGAGTCCTTAGTTTCTTTTAGAGCCTTAGTATTCAAACTGTGATTCAGGATTAGTAGCCTCAGCCTCACCTGGAAGCTTCTTTGAAATGCAGGATCTTCACACTAGATCTCTGAAGGAATCGGCTAAGACGACTCCCAGGTAATTTGAATGCAGTTAAAGTTTGTGAAACACTGGTGTGAAGTAGTGGTTCTTAATCAGAGCTAGCTATACACAGAATCATCTCGGGTTTAAATACTGGATTCTACTCTGACATTCTGATGTAACAAGTGAGAGTGGGAACTAATCATCAGAATTTTTAAAAGTTCCTTAGGTAATTCCAAATGTGAAGTTAATTTTGAGAACCACTGCTTTAAAATAAGAATTTTTAAGCTATGGATAATGAGAAGGGAGGACTGGATTGGATTTTGGTGTGGTCCATGAATATTATAAAGTTGCATGCAAAATTCTGTGTGTATTCATGTATGCATTTTTGTAGGCCCATATATATTTTTAAAGCTTTTATTTATTACTTTTAGAGAGAGGGGAAGGGAGAGAGAAAGGGAGAGAGAAAGAGAGGGAGAGAAACATCAATGTGTGGTTGCTTCTCACAAGCCTCCCACTGGGGACCTGGTCCTAAACCCAGGCATATGCCCTGACTGGGAATTGAACCAGTGACCCTTTACTTCGTGGTCCAGTGCTCAATCCACTGAGCTACACCAGCCAGGGCTATAGGCCCACATTTTTGATCAGTTGTTTTAATTTTTCAAGAGCCTCTATCCCACCAAAAACAAAAAGTTAAAAATCTCTTCTTTGAAATATGGTCTTGCTATTTTATAGTCACTCAATAACGAAAGAAGCATGAACAACAATGAATACCTGGCGTTCAGTGTTTCATGAAACCAACTTCAGTTAGTGCACAAAAACAAAGGGAAGAGAAAAACAGCTATGGAGTCCTACTATATGCCAAATGCTTTGGCATTACATTATCTCAGTATCTTCACAACTGTTTCGCAGATGAGAACACTGAATCAAAGGTGTTAAATAACTTGCTAAAGCCATTACGGGTGCAGCCAGGAATCAAACCTAAGTCTGACTCCAAAGACCATACTTTACTACACTATGCCTGATTGGAGTTCTTAAAATTTAAAGTGCATTACAACTATGCAGAGGCCTTATTAACACACAGATAACTAGTCCTCATCCTCAGTTTCTGATTCAGTTGCTCTGGAGTTCAATAACTTGCATCTCTAACATAGGCAATCCTGATGCTACTGGTCAGGAGACCACAGTTTGAAAAACAATGCCATGCATTCACTTAAGTATTTTTTTAATGCCTAATATATGGCAAGAGCAGGGGCCATCACATTTTAGACACTAAGGAAATTGTGGAGAATAAGACAAAGTCCATGCCTTCATGGATCTTACAGTCTAGTGGGGGAAACTGACAGAATACAAATGTTGAAAAAAATGTAATGCCAGGTAATACATCCTATGACCAACAGAAAAAGAAAAAAAGCAATGTAAGGGGGTGGGGGATAAAACTTTAGATAGGTATTTAGGAAAGACCTTTCTGGGGCGCCTCTTGGGCAGGAAACTCAATGAAGTGAGAAGTGAGCTATGTGACTTTCTGGACGAAGAGCATTCCAAACATAGTTAGGGCCACCACAGCAAAGGGTCAGATCATGCACAGCATTGAAGGCTATAGTTAAAGAATTATTATTAGTCTGAGGATGATGAGAATATTAGGATGCTATCAAAAGTACATTTTATGACTATTAAAGTCTTACCTATTATATAATATGGTTCGTGCAGATGATTCCAATAAAGTTAATGGTGTTTGCAGCATTATAATTGGAAGAACTTCTGGTTGTTCAAAAGTATTTCCATAAAGATCCAAGTACTCAAGGGATAAACTTTTAAATTCACAAGGCAAAAATGGAAGCTTATTTCGAGCTGCTGACAAAAATCGCAGGTTTGTCAATTGTCCTATCTTGAGAGGAAATCGGATCAATTCATTATCATCAAGTTTTAAATCTGTAAGTTCCCGAAGCTGGCAAAACTGCACAGGGAGTGCCTTAATTTTGTTCTTGCTGAGATCCAAACTACGAAGTGATTTCTGGAGTGTAGACTGACACAATGCTACACTAAATGACTCCAAGTGATTGTCATTCAGGTTAAGTTCTTGTAGGTGGATGAGGTCTCCAATTGTAGCTGGAAGCTTTTTTATGTGGTTGTGACTCAAGTCTAATTTCTTAAGGTTTTTTAAGCAAAGCATACGCATATCAACTCGGACAAGACCACAATAAGAAGCCTGAAGATGTTCCAGGTAATGTGGAAAGTTCTTGCTTAAAGGGTAGTCCTTTTTGGATGTGATAACCATTTTAGTTTTAAATTTTTCAAATTCTGAAGTCTTCACTGGTGCGAGGGGTGAAAGTGGTGCCTCAACATCACAGCCTCTATGAGCCAGTCTCATGGCTGAAAGGAAACTCTTTAAACTGCTGGAATTGGCCTAAATAAATAAAAGTTGTACAATTATAAATTCTATTTCAGACAGTGTATGCATGCCAATTCATCCTATAATAAATTCTGTAACATTATATATGCAAATGATGCGATCATTTATTGAAAATGACTGTAAAAAATAATTTTTTTAATATTCTAAATTTCAATATAGATTAAAAAATGTTAAGTTTTTTTTTAAAAAAATGTTGATACACTTTAAATAAAACTATTCGAAGGAGGAACCATAAGAGTATAAAATAATATAGAAAGGCATGAAAAGATTCCACTTGAGATTTGGGTTTAAGAGGAATTCACCCAAACCTCTGGTGCCTCTGGGATAGGCTAAGACAGCCCTGTGCACTTTAAAATGTTCAGGGGTGCCATTCATAAAGATTTCACAAGAACTGTGAAAAACCAAGGCCTTGTCTGTCAAAAGCAAGGCTAAATGGCAGTCAAGAGTGCCAGAAAACATCAAAAGCAAGTGAGTTTGCTTCCAGCTGAACAGAGAAGTCACTCATCAAGTGGTATGTGAACTAAGTCATCACTAAAAATGACTAACACTTGGCAGGATACTTTAGGCATTTCCTAAAGTTCACATATGAAAGAACAGTGAACTTTCAGCAGGTGTGAGAAATAAAGTATGTGATCCTATTTGGTTACCATGTGGGAGCTTTGTAGAGTAAAAGATTAGAAATACAGTATGGGGATAGATTATACATGAACTTGATGTCAAGGAAAAGGAGACAGAATGATCAGACTGTGGGAAATCACTGAAGAATTTTGAGCATGAGAATTACATAAGAGCTAAGTATTATTTTGGCAACAGTATATACAGTGAAGTAGACAGAGGAAAATCTGGAGACCTGGATCAAGTAGGTCCAACAGAGCATACCAACTTGGGAGTTATACACAGTAAGGGTTAACTATTGGAATGGAAGGCAGGTATGGCAGAGAACAGGAATGCCTCTATTTGGGATACAAAGAGGTTGCCAGAGATACAAGACAAAGGAATGGCTCCAAAAACCAAAGGTAAATTAGTATAGTGCCCTGTCACAGATGCCAAGAAAGGAAAGTTTTATTGAGAGTGGTCACCAGTGTCAAATTCTACATAGCTCAAAAAAGATTAGAAAAAGGTGGCAATGTGATTGGCAAACAGAAAGGAAATCACTGACCTTTTAGGCAGTGTTTTGAATACACCAGTGAAAGTAAAGGTCAAAAGAGATCATGAAGTCGAGGCACTGGACTTGGCATCTTTCCAGAAATTTATTTTTTCTTTTTTAATTGGTAAAACCTCAGCTTGTGTTTAGGTAGAAGGAAGGAATTAGTGGAAGGATAGGCTGAACATCAAGAGAAAATGAAAAGTCACAAGAACAGGAGGAGACAGGACTAAATCATTTCATTCAATACAAATACTTCAAAAAGTTATTAAACTTTTAATGTTTGCAAAACATTTTGCTTGGGGGTAAGGGTAATGCAAGGTTGAATAAAACATTACTCCTACCCTCTAGGAAGGGGGAAAACAAGTAAGGGTAGAGAGGGCAAAAAATAATTTTTTTTTTAATTCTAATTGTTTATTTTTTTAAATAATTATAGTAAATAAAATACTCCCAAACAAGGTTCTAATTGCATTTTATCCTTTTTCACACTAAACTTAAGATTTGTAACATGTAATTCAGCTGGCAAAATGTAGAGCTGGGATACCTGCCTTAAGAGTTCCAGGATAAGAACACCCTAAGGCTCTATTTTAGGCACAGAAGCAAACCTAGTTTTTCTCCCCATCCTGGGCAGCTTTACCAAGACCGACTCTGCCCTTTTAGAGCTATACAAGCACTCCTGAGAAGCTGCCATCACTTCTTCAAACACATCTGGGAGAGTTTGTCCCTATTCAAGCATGTGAGATGTCTGGATGCTCAAACAGCTTATTTAAAAAAATACAGCCAACCAATCTACCCATTAATGTTTTTGGTATCATACCTTACTTAGACAGATATCCACAGGAGGCTCCTTTAACCGAACAGTGGCTTTTCCCTCATCCACAAATTTGGTGAAGAATTGTTCAATGTTCTCCTTTAACTGCTTAAAACCAATGGAAAAAAAGAACAAAACCAAGTATTATTTAACACTTAATTACAACTAGAATGTGCCACTTTGCCAGGCTTCGGTTTGTCTTTTAGTCTTTAAGGCTGTGTTTTTAAGTTTTAAAGTTTCCTGTTTGGTTGGGTTTGTTTTTAGCAGTTGGGTAGCTACATTTCTTATGTACCTTCTGGTAGATATTATTTTTCTATCTGTCCAGTTTACACTTTCCACTTCTTAGGACAGAATTTCCTGTTTGGGGAGAATTTTCCTCTTCTCCCACTCCAACTATGTGGCTGTAGTGAGTTGCCAGTAGTAGTTACTTGCCTTTTTAATTTTAGTCCATTAGTCTGGGGTGTGCATGCCTCCTACAAGATTACAAACTCCATGAAAGTAGGAATCTTGTCTTTGTCCATTATTGTACTGCCAGAGCCAAAGAGTGGCTGACACATAACAGGTACTCAAAAAATTTTAATGACTGATGTTGCTTTAGACTTCAACAATTTATCGAGAAGCCGTTATGTACCAGGTTAACAATGATAGGGGGCTTGGGACAACAGTGGAGAATAAAACTAGCATGGTAATCACACACAGTTGCTAATCTGATGAAAGTTATTAAAGTAATTATAAGCATAACAACTATTAAGACAAGAAGTACAGGCTGTTATACAACCTTATATAGCAAAGAAATCTTACCTGGTCTTGAGATATCAAGAGTGACCTTGAAGGTGAGAACTAAAGGATTAGGACATATTGCCAAGTGAAGAAACTATGAGAGAGGACAGCATACCAATAAAAGGGAACAATGTGTGCAAAGCCTTGAAAGCAAGAGAGCTTGGCAGCTCTGAGGAGCTGAAAGAAGTTCAGGATGGCTGAGGGATCCAAAGAGGTAAATGAGCCTGAAAAGGTAAACAAAGATTGGATGGTGAAAGAGCTTGTAAACCATGTTAAGAATTTTAGATTTTATCCTAAGAACAATGATATCCACTGAATGACTTCAAGCTGAGGGAATGTGGTTAAATCTACATTTTTACAAGTTCCTTTTAACCACAGTGTAAAAAATCAACTTTAGGGGAAGGGAGCATAGGATGGGGGAAGGACAATTGTAGAGAGATCCTTTAAGAAACTAGCCAGGCAAGGAATAATGATGGTTTAGACTACACCTGGGATGGATAAAAATATGAAAGACACCTAGGATGTAGAATTTAAAGAGTTCAGGAATATATTAGATGCATGGAGGCAAAGGCTTTAAGGCTTCAGGAAGGGGCAGAACACTACCTAATGAGTTGAAGAACACTGTCAGAAAAGCAGGTTTAGGGGTGATAAGGAAAATTAATTTTTGGGTGTTCTGAGGTTGAAATGCTGAAACACATCCAAGTGAAGATTTCCAGTAGACAGCAGATTCAAGTAGGAAGTTAAGGGATTTACATATTTATCTGGAAAAGATGAAAAGTGTTTCTCACTGCTCTTCTAAGATCTGTCCCCTCTGATGACCACCAATTTGCTGCCCTCCACCAATATGTCATGGGACAGAAAAGTAGGTTTAAGAAAGGCCCAAGATACTTCCAATATTTGGCACTAATACCTACTCTTCAAGGCCAAGACCCACACCAATACCACCTTAATTCATCCATCAAATGTTTACGAAGCACCTACGATTTTCCAAGCCCTGTGGCACCATTCTTTACAAAACTTTCTCAAGCCCCTGTAATCAGAATTCATCTCGTTGATACTCTACTTCTTTATTTACACTTTTATTATAGCACTTATCATAACCTGTTTTTCATTCTAAGTAGTGGTTTCTGTTTATCCTTTTCTAGCCTCAGAGGGGCAGTGACTAAATTAATTTTATCTCCCAGTTTCTAGCATTGTACCTTGTGCACAGCTAAGTCTTCGACTAACAGTTTACAATAAAATTTTGATTAGGATTATCACCTGCAATTGATTCTTAGTGCAGTAGGAGTTTTAAGACGGGCATCATCAGACTTCTTAAATAGGCAGTACCTGAGCTGGGCATGAAAGCGGTTTGCAGGGAAAACAACAGGGAAGAAAAGGGAAATCCAAATTTAGTTATGAGTTTGCTTTTGTCACCTAACAGTTCTGTAACCTTTAAAATGTTGGGTAATTTCAATTTGAAAAACTATGAGTTGATTCCATCAGCAGAGGAAAATCAGACTTTCAACTACTTACATGAAACAGAGTATCTCTGAAAGAGATGGTAACGCCCCCTTTCCTCAACTAAGTACTGTATTCACTGTGGAGTACAACACTGTGAGGAAAATAATGCCAGAAATTGTATAAAATCCAGTCAAGAGTCAGATGCAAGGGTGGACAAACTGACCACTCTACTTTATTTATAGACATAGGGTAGTCCAGTCATTTTGACAATATAACAGTGCCTGGCTATAAAGGGGAAAATATTTTATAAAACCTGTGCTTTAAAAATTCTATTTCAGCCTTGGCTGGTGTGGCTCAGTGGACTGCACACTGGCCTACGAACCATAGGGTCCCTGGTTTGATTCTCAGTCAGGGTATGCGCCTGGGTTGTGGGCCAGATCCCAGTAGGGGGCGCACGGGAGGCAACTACATATTGATGTTTCTCTTTCTCCCTCCCTTCTCCTCTCTCTAAAAATAAGAATCTTTTTTAAAAAATTCTATTTCAAATGGAAAAAAATACAATTAAATAAAAAAATAAAAATTCTATTTCAACTTCCAACTTCTTCTAGAGAGTTTATTACCTCTTACAGCTACGCAGGTAAGAAAAAGTCCCGGACGTAAGAAATCAGATGTTAGGAATTACACATTTAAGGGGGGGGGGGGGAAAGAGATGCAATAATCAATAACTTTAATAAAAGTATCAAGATGCAGCCCCAAGCTTTACTGCTTCATTGTACTAATCTGGTCTAGCGACCTTAGTATTCATCACCCCTTAAAGCTTAAATAAAACCCAGAACAAAACAAAACAAAAAAATAAACTACTGGAAATTCTGTGGGAGAGACAGAATTCATTGAACTAAAGTGCAGTTATTTTACTGTTCCTCCAATCTGGATACTACTATCAACTAGAAGGCGCAGAAATGAGCAAGAAAAGTAAGTAGAGGTGCACTCTCAAAAGCTCTCCTCCTTCGGGCCCTTGGGAGAAGCCCCGGACACAGGTGTGGTGGTTGGGACTCGGGGGCCTGGCGCTCACGAACCCCCAGGTCAAGCTCCAGCCCCGGGGACGTGCCCGCTAGCTCCACGCACCTCATAGCGGGTCCCGCGCCTGTCCTTCAGCGTGGAAATAAGCAAGCAGGCGCGGTTCGAGCCCCCGCGTTCGTCCCCGGCCCGAGGCCGCAGTTGACTTCTGGGAGCCTGCTGACAAAGGCTCAACACCGCGCGGACGCCCTTGCCCCGGTTCCTCAGCCCCAGGGCCGGCAAGTGCCGGCTGACCACCTCGACCTCGCAGTGCAGCTTCATCTCGCCGGAAAAGCTGCAAACAGCTCCACAAACGGGGTTTGAAACTTCTCGGTTCCCGCCCGGCCTCTCCGCCGCCGGGGTCCTCGAGCACGCGAGCTGTCTGCGGATCTGCCTGTCTGCTCCTGGGACAACATCGCGTGCTTTCTCAGTACAGTGCCTCTATGGGTCCTGCGAGGATAGGGGTCGCCGTGGTCGAGTCTTCGTTGTGGCTGTGAGCCGACAGACACCGGCAGCCCGAGGACCCAGCTAGCCCCTTCCGAAACAAGCGATTGGTGCGGGTGCAAGGTCCGGACGGCGGGCATCTGCCTGCCATAACCATCTGGTGGTGGTTACTGTTTGGAGCGGAGCTCATTTCCGCTGATGACACCTAACCCGTACTTGCACACTTTGAGTCACTGCTTTCCGAGGGAAGGCAGGTATTCCTCTGTTAAAGGGAAAGTCTCCTTTCTTACATAGTTTCGGCACTTGGGACATTACCCGTTGTCCATTGCTAGCTAGGGCGCTGCATTACCTGACCCTTTTTGGGCTGGTATTTTGTTTTTCGTGGCTCTCCTCACTCCGGAGGCAGTGCCTGTCATATGGGAAAGTACTTGACTTTGCAACTTCTGTTGAACAAATTCCCACTTTGCTAATGTGAGGGGTTTGGATGGATCGACTGGCTTAAATATGTGTGAAACTTGGCAAGACTGACAGTCCACCACTCCAAATGCTCGTCGGAATCCTTATTTTGTCCCCGGAAAGGGACCTAGTGGAGGCAGGTCTGCCCCAGCAAGGTCTGGGATGTGTGCGCTCTTGACTTCCTGCAGGAATGAAGTCAAGACAGGAGTCCAGGTGATTTTGAGAGTGTGTTTATTAAGTTTGGGACAGCTTAACAAAGGAAGGGTTTAGCATAGAAGACGCAAGATCACAGTAACATAAATGAGCTACCCTGGCAGGGAGTGGGGGATAGCTCAGTTGTTTAGAGCTTTATCCCCATATGCCAAGGTTGTGGGTTCCATCCCTGGTCAGGGCATATACAAGAATCAATAAGTCAATGCATCAATAAGTCCATGTCTCTCTCTCTGACTCTCCCCCCACCCCCCGTTTCTTCCCTCTCTAAAATCAATTTTCAAAAAAAGGAAGGAGAAGAAATTAGCTTAGACTGGGCTACCTGGTCTCAGGAAAGGAAGTCACAATAACAGAAGTGAGCCTAGGCTGGGCTGCCTAGTTTCACTGAGAAGTAAAAGTCACAGTGACAGTAGTGAGCCAAGATGTGGCTTCTTTTGGCCCACTGAAAAGTTAGGCAACAGAAAAGCCCTCAGAGTTTGTGAGAAAGTAAAATTAGATGCCTGAGGAAATGGAGGAGTGAACATGCTCAAGGGAGAGCATGTGCTGGGTCCTTTGCCTTGAGAGTTTTTATCTGTTTTCTGTAGGTAGGGAATTTTGGGTAGCTCTCAATCAGAATATTCATCAGCTTTTCCAGGTGTGTTTTCAATATGATGCATCAAAATGAGCGTGTAATCGGGTTTGGGATCATTTTCTGGTCAGCTTCATCTCTATCTTGGATTTGTCTGGCTCTACTTGTTTTGTTGTGATTGTTGTTTACTCCCCTGACTTTATCCAGCTTTAGGTTTGGCAGGCACTAATGGCACTAACTGGGTCTCTGTTGTCTATCTCCTTGACTAGGGTGATTTAGGCTACTCACTCACTGGTTGGAAGGAAGAGATGCAAACAATCTGCTCTTAAGTGTCTCTGATTAGGGAGGATAGGGTCTTGTGGTAGCTGGCTGTTAATTGCTCAGCTATTCCTGTAACTATTTTGTCTCCATTTCCCTCATTCCACTTGCCAGGGAATTTTTCTAGCTTCTTACTAACCTGTGTCAATTCTATTTATTAAAGAAGGGCCAAGGCCCTACCTAGGTGTTGCAAGTGAGGCCCCTGGGACGCACATGTTAAAGAGGCACTTACTCTCAGGGTCATAGTCTTTACTCCTTAAATATGTGTCCTAGGTGCCTCCCTCCCCTCACTCTGGTCATGGCCTTGTATTAAGTATTACATTTTAAAACACAATCTGAGCTGTGTTTTTACAAATGTGATGTCCAGAAATGCTGATTTTCAATTAAACTATGACAATTTATCCTGTGGCCCCTGAAAAAGATAATACCTACTAAGAAGGACTCAAATTTAAAAACAGTCTAGCAGCCATTTCTGCACAGGGGCCTCTCTCACAAACCCCACTTCAGGGAGAGGCCTGCACTAAGCTGCCTGCCTCCTACACGTAACTTCCTGCCTGCACTGCGTTTCTGCCATCCTAGCCAGCACTGATAAAGGAATTACTGGAACCCTATTTCAACCAAAAGGACTGAGGCTTACCCTGTCCAATCAGAGCTACTAAATCCCCATCAGTAGCATCATCAAACTATCAGAGTGGCTCTCTTTGACCAATCAGGACAGATTGCCTTTTGGACCAATGAAGCTATGAGGATTTGGAGTCCTCATTTTATATAAGGATGGACTAATCAAGGACCAGGGATGGGGACTTCAGTCTATATAAACCAGCTCCCGTATGGCTGAGGGAGCACGCACTTTCCCTTTTCCACTGAAGACTGCATTGCCCCTGCTGGAGCTGAAACACCCAAGATGTCTCACCAGAGCAAAGCAGAGAACAGAGCTGTCTATCCTGAGAGGGACCTGGCCCCAGGGCTGCCTCACCCTACGGATTTCTAATAGCTATGCTGTTTCACACTCAAGCTATATCACAATTGAGCTGTTCGCACTAAATAAGCCTTATTCACTACACCTCAAATTGGGGATTCTTGATGGCGGTGAAGCCAAAGGATCATCTCTTGATGTTAGTTGGCATTGTGGACCAACTGGATGTGGAAATAAACAAAGAATATTCAATTGGGCTACAGGTTTGACCAAAGGAACCAAAGAACATCTAAATTTGTTTTCCTTACGTCAAATCAGTTCCTGTTCCTCCTGGCCTACATACTACTTTCATTCCTTTTTTTCTGTTTTGTTCATACTAATTATTTCTATTAATCTTTCAAAACTCAGTTCTACTAAGCTTTCTTTAACATCTTGATTTTCTTTTCTGGAGTGGGGAAATACAATTGCACTTAAAATTACCTTTCGTTACTTTTATTTCTTTAGGTTTATGGTGCATACTAGGCATTCAACAGATAATTAATTGACTGATTTGTCCCTTCGTCCATGCCCGTAAGAAACTTTACTCAGACTTGTGGCTCATTTGGGTTTAAGCTAGTAAAATCATAGTCACATCATATTCTTAAAAAGCAAGGTCACGATCTATGGACACATTGTATGGTCAATTAATCTGCCTTACCACATTAGGACTAGATTTTGGAGTTGGTTTTTTTTAATGGTAAACTTGATCTAAAATAAAGCTAAAATAGTTAACAAATATGTGTCTAAGCATTCAATTTCTATAGTGCTGAATTGAGCCTGTTGACACTCTGATTATGTTTTATACATTATGTTTTTGTTACTGAACAAAAGACCCGGGGCTGGGGGGAGGGTGCCCAGATGCTATTGCTGAAACAACGACACCCTCCTTCCCCGGGACCCCTCGGTTGTGGGTCCTTTGCCCGCCGCCCTTGGAATTATGGCTCTGAATGGCAGAGTTTGGTGAGAAGGAAAAGGAACTATTTATTCAAAAGTTATACAGGTTTGATTAATGGCTAAATGTCACCCTTAAACCTCAAAATCCCTTCAAAACAACCACCAGCACACACACTGTCCTGCCTTCCCCCCTTTGCCCAGTTAAGCCAGTCAGGCCAGTCAGGGGTACCGTCCTTCAGAAGAAAAAGAACAGAAGTCCGGGGCTCGGCTAGGCAGGCCTCTTGCGGGTCTCAGCACCATCCACTGCATCGCCGCGATCTCCAGCTCTTAATCCATAACCATGTGGCACCTTCTCATGGTGCACTAGCAAGAGTCCTTTTCTCCCCTCTTTCTTCCCGTGTGGTCTTCACACTGTTCCCCAGAGTCTGTATCCCTTTCTCTCTCCTGCAGGCCCCTGTCTCTCCTCTTTCTCTCTCAGTTACATTCTGTATTAAGTCTTTTAAACCTTCCTGATTAGCTTTGGTGATATGCAAAATAATTCTCTTTGCAAATGAGGAATGAAACTATCCTGTTATTGACATACAGACTGACTCCTCAATGGCCCTGCTCAAGGCTCCCATTCCCCATGGCGGCCCGCCTTGGGGTGGGGAAAATATATTTTTCTTGGACACCCCAATATCTGGACTCCGTTACAAAATATGCTTTGGTGGGGTTGGGGGAGGCCCTGGCTATGGCCCGTTACATTTTCGCTATGATTTCCTGTTGGGAACCGTCTGTCTGGTTTCAGGGACTGTACCTTTGTCAACAGGCAAGAGAGCCCCAAAGCTGGAGCTAATCAAGGAGGCCTTGGGAAAACAGGCCACTGAGGAAACAAAACCTGTTCCCCATGGCAAGGGCGCAGCGTCTGCCTCCCTCACATCACCCTGCTTAGTCCTGTGATGGTTGGTTAGTCAAAGACAGGTAAGATTCCTCATGAGGAGGGACAACCTAAGCCAGACACGGCCGGTATGGGCAGCAGACAAGGATGTGGGGGACAGAGAAAAGGCAAAAAGGCCCGCACCCCTCAGCTCGGCTTGGCTTGGACATAGCCAGAGTCCTTATTCTCTCTGAAAGAAGTCTCCTTATCTCTTGGTGGCTCTGCCCCTCCCGCCTGGCTCAGGCTTGAAACAATACTAAAGGCAGGTACAGCCTTAACCTGGATTGGGTAGTTCCTGGGACAATCAGGCCTAAAAGTAAGTTCCTCCAAGCATGCTTTGTTCTTCCCTCAAAAGCCATGATAACCAGCTCATACTGGGAAGGACATTTACATTATTCACGGACCCTGACCTGAGGCAGATCTCTTGTGTTCCTCCAATTGTTATCTATGATCTCTGTCTGTTTTCTGTAAACATACCCTTTTGACCATTGATTGATGAGCTTTGCATCCATACCCCTGTGCATACGGTTCTCAATAAGAGCCTGTGGACATGGGGGTTTCGGGACCTTCCCCACTACAGGGAAGAGCCCTGTCCCCTCTCCTGGCAAAGAGAGAAGTGTTTGCGACGACTCGTGTTTGTTCCCCCCACATCTGTGACAACCCCACGATGGACTCTGCAGGATTCAGAGCCCTGCTCTTTCCTGAGCTGGCTCCGGACAGTAACCCTCAGGTACAGGAGTGCCCTGTGTGGCGCTCCCTGTGACAATTTCCTAATTAACACCCACCTTTCCATTCTTAATGCTCCTATATCAGTTCAGAGTTGTATTACTTACCTTCAGAACTATTTCTCAACTTACCAGGTCTTACTTCAATGCATTTATTCATTCAGTATTTATGGTGTTTTTACTATGTGACAGCACCTATGCTAGATGTTTAGATGGCAAATATGAGTTGATAGTGTTTAGGAGAGACAAATAAACCAACAATTATACGTAAATGGATAAATGTTAGACGGGGACATTAGAGTAGTGTAAAGTAGCCAGATGATTAAAATAATTTGTTTGCTAAACCTAGGCCTTTGAAAATCATTGAGAGCAAAATTTTCAAGCAGGGGATAAAATTCAGACCTGTTTAGGGAAGGTTACTATGGTCAGTAAAGAGATTACTTTGGAGGGGGAAGAAGCCCAGAGGCAGTTACTAGGTAGCTAGTGCAATAATCCACCATCTACACTGCTCCCAAAATAAATTTTTAAAGATGTCTGCTGTTATAGAGCCCTAAACTTTTGGAGCTGAAAGATAGTTTACAGATATTCTAATTCAATTCTCTCAATTTACACAAGGGGAATAGAGGCTGAAAAGAGTAAAAGGATAGGCCCATAATCTCATAGATAGTGTTAGAAAAAAATAGTGCTAGCAGTCACTTCTCATATGCTGTACTTAATCCTTCCTAAAAACTTTCATGGATTTCCACTCTTTGCAATTTAATTAAATGCAGATGCCCAAAGATTTGCTCTTATTCCTTTGGAATCCAGGTCCTATTATGTAGTTTGGACAAATCTCCCCAGGGCAGTCTTTGTGGTTTTCAGTTCCTGCTTATCACCTACTCCTTAGGATTCCCTAGAGCTCAACTCTGTATTTTAAAACATATAATATTTCTTCTAGCACTTTTGGGTGTTCATGGCAAGAAGAATCTTACATTATCCAAAATACTGCTCTATGATAACTTATTTAATGCCTGTCTTCACCTCTACACTGAAGCTTCCTGGGGACAGGTTTTGTGTCACTACTGTTATATTCAAGGCCTAGTGTAGTATTCACACTTGGTAGGTACTCAATAGATATTTGTAGAAAGAGTGAGCAAAATGAATATATGCTATTCATTTATTTATTTAACAAATATTTGTGAGAGGCTGCTATGTGCTAGAATAGAGCAAACTTACAGACTAGTACGCATTCACTTAATATTGCTTGTGTTGGAGTAAGTAGCTAGGCACTTGGAAGGGAGAGAAGCTTGATTTCTTCCCTACTCCTGTGGACAGTGAAATAAATTTGAGATGGATTCAAGATTTAAAACAAGGAAATGTAAATACTATAAGAAACAGAAATTTTAAAGAATTTTGACATAGACCTAAAAGGCAGAACAAATTGATACATTTTCATATATAAAATTAAAATGTTTTACATGGAAGAATATACCAGTAACAAAGAAATAAGAATCTGCCCTGGCTGGGTAGGTCAGTTGGTTAGAGCATCATCCTGATACACCAAGGTTGTGGGTTCAATCTCCAGTCAAGGCACATATGAGAAGCGATTGTGCCAGTAGTGTCCTTTATTTAAAAAAAAAAAAAAAGAAGTAAGATTCTGGGATTCTGTTTGTTACTCAACTCAAGAGGTTCACCACTTGGAGTGTTGTATTCGAGAACGAGATATGGTTGTCATTAGGGAGTTTTATTTACTTGTAGCAAGTAAAGGAGATGAGGGATTCACATCTAAAGCTCTGTCTCCTGGAAGGGAAGCTTAGCCATTGCTTATATATACTATTTAGTTAATTACACATTGACTCCTTTGCAGTTGGCTACACTTACCAGGTTGAGTTCCTGTCAAGCTCATCCTCCTTACAGCTGAGTGCAAAATCCTGCGCTGCATTATAACATATAGCGAGAATAGCATTTAATAAGAATGACCCTTGAGACCCTTGTCCTATCTAACATGGTAAATAAAATAACTGTGTAACCGATGTGAAGGTCAAAGGGCTCATTTTTTTTTCATGTAAGCATTTATAAATATGTAAACTAAAGACCAGCAACACATTTAGAACGTACGCTGAAGACTTAAAGGAGAAATTCACAGATAAAGATACATGGCTGGATTATAAACATAGTGTAGACCAAAAAGGGTAGACATAATTAAATTTGACAAGCTCAGAGGAAACCAGCATGGCAGGCCCTACAAACTCAGCAACTGAAAGTAACTGCATAGGATGGTCTGAACATAAACATTCCTGAGTAAAGTGGGTCATGGTGGGTTGTCATGTCCTAGGCCAGTAGCTTACTTGACAAAGGTCAACCTTTACCTTTAAGTGACCACAGAACTCTCATTGTTATGTTGTTGCCCAAATACCATCTCTATGTGTTGTGTTAATTGTTAACAGTCCTGTACCCATCAATGTAAAAGAAGTATGTGTCTTTTTGTTTTACTTTTTATCTAATCCCACACATTTCCCCTTTTTTCCTTCCTGCCCCGTTAATCTATCACCAGTGGATTTCATGCAACCCTCATACATCTTCTCCTTCTATTCCAGTGTATAATATTTGCTGCAAAACTGCCATACTCTGAAGTGTTTTCTCAATCCATGGAGAGTTTGCTTCTCATCAATGTATGAGTTTGGCTCAAATAAACTCATAAAAATTCTCTACAGGTTTGGACATTTCTAACATTGAAAATGGGAAAACATGATCTTCCTCATCAAAATTCAAACTAAAACAACAGATACTATTTTTAGACTATCAGAAGGAAAATGTAAAAAAGTTTGCTGATTTACACTGTTGAGGGATCGTAGGAAAACACGCTTTCTACTGGCATGAAGTTGAATTGTTACAATTTCTGTAGAGGGCAAACTGGTAATATCTAAAAAATTTAAAAACTCATATTCTGGACCTAGCAGTCGCATTTCCAGAATTTTTATAGACATACTTTATTATATTGATATACATATAAATATAAATATAGATATAATGTAAGTATGCAGACAAAAAGTTCACCCAAGGATGTTTCAATTCATCTTTATTCTCTGATTTTGCTATATATTTCTCCATAGTTTTTATACTCTTCTAAGATGCTTTATGATCTATATATTTTTGAAAACATTGAATATGATATGAACCTGTTTATGTAAATCAATATAGATGTAAAAATATATAATAATAAATACAAGCATATGTATATGGACACATTCATACATATATATCCACATATGTACATATATGTGTGTAAGTGTATAAAGAAAGATAGATATTTTTCAAGCCATCCCACATGAAAATTAACATGTTATTCTGGACAAGAAGACTGAAGAAAATAGCAGTCTGGTGTGGAGACTTACTCTTTTTTCTTTTCTTTCTTCCTTTCTTTCTTTCTTTCTTCCTTCCTTCCTTCCTTCCTTCCTTCCTTCCTTCCTTCCTTCCTTTTCTTTCTTTCTTTCTTTCTTTCTTTCTTTCTTTCTTTCTTTCTTTCTTTCTTTCTTTCTTTCTTTCTTTCCTTCCTTCCTTCCTTCCTTCCTTCCTTCCTTCCTTCCTTCCTTCCTTTCTTTCTTTCTTTCTTTCTTTCTTTCTTTCTTTCTTTCTTTCTTTCTTTCTTTCTTTCTTTCTTTCTTTCTTTTCTTTCTTTTTTTGGTGCACCATTCCCAGAAGTACAATACCAGATCAATATGCACAGTGGATGGAGCAAGCTTCTATTCCATCTCCCTGCTCCAAAAATCCATTTAATATATTGTCTTCAGATAGAGGAATGTATCAGATATTAAGCTGATAAGAACAGATACTACACTTAATCTTAGCCAAAAAGCCAGAAGTGGTGGAGACTTACTTTTATAAATATATTTTTGTGAATCCCTTCTCAGTCTTTTGGCTAAGAGTACGTGCAAAATATATTTTTGTATGTATGTATGTATGTTTTACTTGAGAGCATATAGATAAGTAAAATATCAATATTTGCTGAAATGTATAGATATACAGAGTATTAAACATTGGACTTTAAAAAAATGTTTGATTAAATCATTAATTCTGACCAGCTGAGAAAACTGACTGATGAAGCTGAAGTGTTCATATTAGTGTAATAGTTAGACGTGAAATATATATCTTAGATCTTGCTTATGGCAAAATACAGTTTTAAAAATATATTTTATTGATTATGCCATTAGAGTTGTCCCAATTCATCCTCCTTTGTCCCCCTCTGCCCAGTACCCATATTCCCTCCAGGAAACCCTTCCCCTTAGTTCATGTCCATGGGTCATGCATATAAGTTCTTTGATTTCTCCATTTCCTGTATTGTTCTCCACACCCCTCTGTCTATTTTGTACATGCCAATTTATGCTTCTTAGTCCCTGCACCTTTCTCCCCATTCACCCCCTCCCCTCTCCCAGCTTATAACCCTCCAAGTGTTCTCCATATCTATGATTCTGCTCCTGTTCTGGTTCTTTGCTTTGTTTTTTTAGATTCAGTTGTTGATAGCTGTGAATTTGTTGCCATTTTAATGTTCATAGTTTTGTTCTTCTTTTCCTTCAATAAGTCCCTTTAACATTTCATGTAATAATGGCTTGGCGATGATGAACTCCTTTAGCTTTTCCTTGTCGGGGAAGCACTTTGTCTGCCCTTCCATTCTAAATGATAGCTTTGCTGGATAGAGTAATCCAGGTTGTAGGTCCTTGCTTTTCATCATTTGAATACTTCTTGCCAGTCCGTTCTAGCCTGCAAAGTTTCTTTGAGAAATCAGCTGACAGTCTTATGGGAACTCCTTTGTAGGTAACTCTCTGCTTTTTTCTTGCTGCTTTTAAGATTCTCTGCTTAGCTTTAATATTGGGCAACTTAATTATGATGTGTCTTGGTGTGTTTCTTCTTTGATCCAACTTGTTTGGGACTCTCTGTGCTTCCTGGACTTGTTATGTCAATTTCCTTCAAAATTAGGGAAGTTTTATTTTATTATTTTTCAAATAAGTTTTCAATTTCTTGCCCTTTCTCTTCTCCTCCTGGCACCTGTATGACTTGGATGTTGGTACATTTGGGTATGTCCCAGAGGCTTCTTAGTCTGTCTTTGTTTTTTTGAATTCTTTTTTCTTCTTGCTGTTCTGATTGAATGCCATTTTCTTCCTTATGTTCCAAATTGTTGATTTGAATCTTGAGTTCATCCTCCTCACTGTTGGTCCCCTATAGATTTTTCTTTATTTCACTTAATGTAACCCTCATTTTTGCCTGGGTCTTTTTTATGCTGTTGTAGTACTCAGTGAGTTCTTTGAGCATCCTGATAACTAGTGTTTTGAACTCTGCACCTGATAGGTTGGTTATCTCTGTTTTGTTTAGTTCTTCTTCTGGAGTTTTGTTCTGTTCTTTCATTTGGGCCATATTTTGTTGTCTCCTCAATTTTGCAGCCTCCCTGCATTTGTTTCTGTGTTAGGTAGATCTGCTTTGGCTCCCTGTCTTAGTAGCAAAGCCTACTGTAAAAAAGGCACCCATAAATTACGTGCAGCAGAGCCTTAGGCGATTGCCAAGGTGGGCCAAGATGTTTCGCCACTTTGTGGTTCTGCATGGAGGGAGGGCTTGGAGAGGGAACAATGCCTCTGCCTGACTTCTGGATGTTTGCCCAGGAGGAAGCTGTCTCCCGGCACTCACGCTGTTGCCAGTCACCTCACTTTCTCCCCGTATGCCACTGGTGGCCATCCTGCTATGAGAATCTGGCAATTTCTTTTGCCACCCCAACCCTCACTGGTTTTCACAGCCAGAAGTTATGGAGATTTATCTTCCTGGTGCTGGAACCCTGGGCTGTGTGGTCTGGTGTTAGGAAACACCCTGCCTGGTTTCAGGAGCTGTAATCCTGCCAAAAGGCTGGAGGGCCCCAAGGCTGTAAATAATCAGAAGGCCTTAGAGAAACAGGCTCCTGAGGAGACTTGGCCTGTCCCCTGGCAGGGGCGTAGCTCCTGCCTCTTTGCTTTGCCTTGTGATGGTCCCTGCCAATGATGGGTAAGACCCCTCGGGGGAGGGGCAACCTAAGCCAGGCATCTACGGATTTAGGCAGCAGACAAGAAATTGGGCAACATGGAGAATGGGCAAAGAAGCCCCCACACCTCTCAGCTTGGCTTGAACAAGGCCAGAGTCCTCATTGCAGCTGAGAAGCAGTCTCCTTATCTCTTGGTGGTTCCCTCCCCACACCTGGCTCAGGCTTGAAACAGTGCAGGAGTCAGCTCTAAATCAGGTCTGGCGGTTGCCAGGGAAATCATGCCTAAAAGTAATTTCTTTAAGGTGTGCTTTGTTCTTTCCTTGGATCTCTGGCCAGCTCATCCTGCGAAGAACCTTCACATTATTTGCACCCCTTACCTTTTATCATTAAAGTGCTTGCCATTATCTTCATTCTCTTTGGTTTGTGCTGGTCTCCTCTTGGACCCATGTAAATTAGTGAATTCCTGTCACTTGTTTTCTTAAAAGCATCTATTCTCTGTGAAACTTAACATACTAATGTAATGAGATTACGTATGCATTCCTGTTACCTAGCCTCACTGATAAGATTTTCAATAAAAGCCTTGGAACAAAGGGCGATGGGGCCTTCCCCACTAGAGGGACGTGCCTCAGCCTTTCCCAGTAAGAGGGAAGTGCCCCCGTCTGCTCTCCCAGAAAACAGAAAAGTGTTTGCAACTTTTTGTATTTATCCCCCTCATCCGTGACAACCCTAGGACGGGCTCTGCGGGATTTAGAGCCCTGCTCCCATCTCAGCTGGCACCAGCATGTTTCTCTCAGGTTCAGTGAATGCCGTGCTCTCTGTGGTGCTCCGCCCGCAGCAGCGCACCCTGTCTAGCTACCGTGCAGTGTGACAGTCTGGTGCTGGGATCCCTCGCTCCTGAATTATCCCTCCTGATTTTTTTCCAGCACACATGAGTGTGGGATTGCCCATTTTGCCACCTCTCCTTGCCACACCACCTCTCTGCACCTCTCTGCCCATATCCACGTCTCTGCTCCTCCTACTCATCTGGATGAGTGTGGCTTCTTTAAATTCTTGGTTGTCAGACTTCTATACAGCTCAATTTTCTGATGGCACTTGGTGATATTTTTTGTGGTCTAATGATAATCTTTTCTGTAGTGTGTAATGAGGTGAACATGTTTATCTACTCCTCCATCTTGACTGGAAGCCTGAAAATAGATTTTTAAAAGTTTAGAAAAAATTATGATTCTATTCCTAGAGGTTCTGAAATTGAACCTAATTCAAGAAAGATGCAGGCCTTTAAACTATGAAATTTTGCATATACAATCCAAAATGACTATGAAAAGAATCTGAGCATGAAAATGGGAGTTATTTTGCAGAACAACTTTCAAGACCAGAAAAAACATTAAAAACTACTTGCATATTAAGATAGGTGAACAGATTGTTCAATCGTAACTAATTGCTTCTTGTTCATCCTTATTCTTTTTTCTTTTAAATGAGTTCACATCTATGGGGAAAATGATTATGTATGAGTGCTGAAAGTATTTATGGAATTGATCTCAGAACCATTGTAATTTTTGATATGAGGCCAACTAGGTAAGGCCTGAGAAGGGTATATAGGTGGGCAATGTTAGGCTAGCTTTTGAGAGACACATTGATTTTGTTAACTATATGTCAATGATTGATAAATTCCAGGAAAACTCTAGGAGCTTGATACTGGACCCTCTGAAGTCAGGCTTTAAAATAAAACACCTTTTCAATCTTATCTATTACTAGGGTTTGTTTGTTTGTTTGTTTGTTTGTTTTTTGGTTTATCCTCCACTCTAGTTGCACAAAATTGTTCACTTTCCCCAAGTCTTTCCTGTTATTGGATGAGTCTGGGCCTGGAGCTAGCTTGCCCTGGGTCCACTGGTAATGTGTGAGTTCTTGACTTTGTGTAGGAAAGACATCACAATACAAGTATAAGTGATTTTGAGAGGATGTTTATTAAAGCTGGGGACAGTGAAACAAAAAAAGAGCTTAAGGTAGAAGAAGCAACAGGAGAGAGCAAGTCAGCAAAAAATGGGGCCTCAGAGTCAGGTTCAGGGAGTAAACACTAGATGAGCTTCTTCTTTGCACTGCTCCCCTGGTTCCAAGTCTCATGGGGGTCCCTTAGAATTTAGGAGAAAGAGATACAAGGTGAGGGCGTGCTCTAGTGAGAGGACACTGTGAATCCTTTGTCTTGAGGCTTTTTATCTTTCTTTGGCAGATGGAATCCTAAGGGAGGTATCAGGGGAGGGTCTTAACAAAACACTCATTAGCTTTTCAAGTGTGACCTTCAATATGTTGATTCATCAAAATGTGTGTTTAGAGGGATTACACATTTTGGGTTAGAGGGTTATTTTTCTGATTAGTTTTATTTTTAAAGAACATTATTGAAGAGGAACTGGAATTGAGGCCAGTCTGCCCCAGGACAATTTGGAATGTGTAAACCATTTGCTTCTAAGTGTCCTTGGTTAGGGAGGATAAAACCTTGTGATTCATTAGCTGGTTGCAAATTGCTGAAATTGTTTGACCTTGTTTAATTATTCTGTCTCAATTTCCTTTATTCAACTTGTCAAGGAATTTCCCTAGCTTCTTACTATCCTGCCTCATTTTCCAATTCCATTCTTTGTCTCCCACTTCATCTCAGTAGGCATTTCCTTCATCAACTGCTGCTTGTGGAAGTCCCACTCTTCAAGGTTTACCTCAGGGGCCCATTGAAAGTACCAAGCTAGAGTTAATTTCTCTTTTTTGCTCCATGAGCACATCCATTAGTGAATACAGAATAATAATCTGTTTACTTAGCTGTATATATGTCATTGAGTCACAAAGTTGGAAATGGATGGAAGGACTTTGAGACACTCCTGTT